AAAAAAAAAAAAAAAAAAAAAAAGAAGAGATGCTGCTGTCACTAGTGACCTTTGAAGCCTCCTGCAGCTCCCTGGAAGCCAGCTGGAACAACTGAAAGTGTGTCAGAAACCTCCTCCGAGCTGCAGGAATATCAGCGGTAACTAGTTAAGTAACCCACTGCCCCCTAAGGCCGTAACAGTTTACACACAGAGAAGCAATCCCCAGCTAGACCCTCTCACAACCCACTTTTAGGATGCCAATGACCTGGAGAATTTCTCACCATATTTACATTTTCAGAAGACATTGTGATCTCCAGCTCATCTGGCACTACCAGCAGTGACAGCTCACGCACTCCCTGTGTGCCAGCATGCACAGCCAACGCATCTCTTCAGCCCTTGTCTCCTCTACACTGGCCACCATCTTAGGGTGTCTACAGTTTTGGTTGGTCTCAGCCCCTCTGTCCCTGCTGACAGGTCAGGACAGCAGAGGTGGCTCTGCAGTTTCCACAGTTCAACTGCAGGAGCTGGAACACATCCTTATGTGCACACCTGTAAAGAGCTAATAAAGATGCAGCTGATGGCTTTGATAAATATGAACTAGTCTAGGTAAGATTCTTACAGTGATGGACACTCTAGATTTCACGTAGCTAGCTGGAAAACAGGTTTTTCACCTGACAATTTTCAGGAAAGCTAGTAAGAAAAAAAAGCACAGGACCTCAGCAACCCACCAGGGCAGGCTAAGGTTTACCAGTGTCCTAAAAACAGCTCAGCTAACACGCAGAAAGGAGCCCAGCACTTACACAGAAGGAACAGAGACTTCCACATGACAATCAATACTAACAGAAGTTTCACCACTTCCAGAAAGAGCGACCATGGTCTCCAACCCCTTACCTTGCTATCCAGCTTCTTCATTGTCACGAGGTCCAAGGACTTGAGCGAGTGCCCGGTTGGAGTGATGAAGTACAGGCAGACGTGAATCCTCGTGTCATGGTAGTTGAAGAGAGAGCGGCGGATTTTCAGCTCTTCTTGCAAATAGTTTTCAAACTGCGTATCAATGTACTCAACTATCGGCCTGTAACTAAAACCATACCATTAGCAACCCAGATACTGGAGCCCAAAATTAAACAGTTTGAAGGCTTAAGGAGTTCTTCTAGACATATCACTACTTTTAAATGATACCATGGTAAGACTCAAACAACTTAGCCTTACAACAGGAAAAGTGCGGCATTTACACACAGACCTTATAGTCCAAAGGTTGCTGGAGTCTCCTGAGACTGCACTGCAAAGTCTACAGGACAGCGGAGCATGGAAAGACGACTACTTCCACAAATCAAACTTTGCCCAGATCTCAGGGCTGAGCCATCTGGCTGTAGCAACGCAACATGACCAAGGAGAGACCTTGGAGTCCCAGAAAGCCTTTACCTGGGGCTTGAACAAGATGTCTATGTAATTAAACGAGACAGGTCCAGAGACACTGATCACTGCCAGAACAGATAATTCCCAACCCTGCACCGAGGACAGCTTGTTAACTGCTCACACTCCTGGAGAACACCATTCTCTGCTGGAAAGACCTCCTTTGACCTCTTTTTTTGGCTCCTCACCCAACTCCCTCTACACTTAGTCCCCAGAACCAGAGCCACTCCATTAACAGAAACACAGACATCTCCTCTGCAATGCTGCAAGCAGGACTGCAGGCAGTTTATGTCTAAGCATCAGAGGCAAGCCCAGAAATGCCAAGCAGATGGCACGAGACCTGCCTTTCATCTTTATTTATCTGATCCCCAAATCCAACCGCATCCACAATTGTTAGCTTCAGGTGGACATTGCTCTCCTGCAGGTCGTAGGTCCGTGGCCGCAAGCGAACCGCGCTCTCGTAGTGACTGGCTTCCTCTGTCTCAAAGGTGGTATTGAAGAGGGTATTCATTAGTGTGGATTTCCCAATGCCAGTCTCACCTAGGAAGGAGAAATCATCAGCTCACTGCAGCATGAATTTGTCACGGATACTTCAAAGAACATTAACTACAGTGCAGAACTAAATTATACTGTGAAAGGTTACTACAAATTGCTTGTGGACAGACATGCAATTGTCACAAAGGTAACTGCATTATTGAAGGCCTCCCATGCTTAATGCAAAGCTAACACAGAGCACTTTGGTCTCATCTCCCCAGCGAGGATCATAGAGCACAGCAAAACACACTATCTTCCCCTCCATGTACCCTGACTTTGCTTGGGATCCTGCACCAGAGAAGCTGGGGAGAGCACAATTTTAGTGGAGTCTTTTGAGTCTTCAGATGAGATGGAATAAAACTTGACTGCTCCTACTGACAAGGACTATTTGGGTCAGCTGTTGGCTGTCCTAAACGCAGCAATAGCTCCAGATAACACTGCAGGTCAGCACAAAGCAATGGATGAGTTTGGTGTGCTGTGGAGGGGACAGGGAAATCTGATAATGAGGTTTCCTCTCACTCCTTTCCCTGAGATTCCCAACTTTAAACAGGCTTCTTTACCACTTTCTCTCTTTGATTTTTCTCGCCATGAAGGTCTCTGGAGACCTGCCTTTTTTGAGAGTGGAGTCCCCTGTAAGGAAAGAATCTGGAGGCCTATTTCAGTACAGAGAAACAGGCAGACAGCTCCGGATCTGCTAGGACAACTTTCCATCAGACTGAAAACCTCTTTTCACAGCAGAAGAGACGCTGGGTGAAGGGTTCATGATATCACTGTGCAGCTGAACTTTGGTCTGCCTGGAAGCCCTAAAGCAGCTTGTCCTTCTTCCACAGCCTCAACCCTGTAGTCCCACATGTCCCATTAATAACTGTCAAAGGACTAAAGCCCATTCTGCTGTAACCCTTTCCCCTTCCTGCCACACAGCAGCTACACCAGAGTCAGCTCTGTGGCTCTTTTACTCTCCCCTCTGAAAAGCACCACAAGCTCCGCACAAGGCACTCAGTGAGCTGCTGAGATCTGGCTCAGTACATGCAAACTGTCCAAGATGGTCCCATTCTGCAAAGACAGCACGTCTGTGCTTTGAGATGATAGGGCCACCTATGCAGCAAAGAGAATTGGCCAAACCGGAGGAAATAAGCAGCAAACTCTTCTGTCACATCAGGCATTAGCTTCCACAGGCATCCAGGCCACCTCAGCAAGACAGCAGCTGCCTGAGAGAGCATGAGGTACTGCTCTGCCCTGAAAAGCTCCAGCTGCACAGGAAGATCTTACAACCCAGCCCAGATGATGGTGTTTGCAGCACAGCCGGTTTCATCTCATATTGCTCTTGATTTCTGGAGTTTCCCTTTAGTATTTCTGCTTCTTTCAAGGCTGCCCTGTTGCCCCATGATTCTTCATACCAATCAGGCAAGGGGAGACAAGAATGCTGTTTAGGGGAAACCAAAGTGAAACCAATACCAAAATGCTATATAGTGTCTGTGACACAGAGGCCAAAGCATGATAATGTTTCCAGAGGCCACGTTCCATGGTACATTTTTACTATAGACCTCAGCAGAGCCCTGTGCTGGAGCACTGAAGCAGGGCACTTTCAAGGCATCTTCATCTTTCCAGTAGCAGAAAAAATTCTGCCAACTTGGACCTCCGAGATACACAGAGGGAGAGAACACGGAGTCAAGAGGGGATGGCAGAGAAACTTGGTAGGGAATAGTTCTTGGAGAACCAGTAGGGGCAAGCTTAGGAGAAGTTGCCCATCTGTAGCCCCCCTGTTCCCACAGCCATTGAAGGACACCTGGAATGCATCACAAACCAAGATCCATCCCAGAATATTTGGCTCACAGGCTGACTGTGAGCCAGAAAGGCTTTGAACTGCTGCTCCTGATAACTAAATGAGGCCAATCTGGAAAATATCAGTGTCTACAAGGGGCCCCATTTAAACTCCTCATTCACTACATGCAGCCCTATTTGCCAAGGGAGTGGAGAGGCAAACCCCAAGGAAATAGCCTGCTTCTTCCTGCTCATTCCCAGGCAGTCGACTCCTTGCACTACACCTTCAGCACAGACAGCCGCTGCTTCTGCTGGGCACAGCCCCTCTCGCTGAACCCAGCCAACTCCGAGAAGCCCTACAGTGGACATGCTGATGGGAGAGCAGGAGTGTGAGCAAGTTTCTGTTCAAGGGAGGTGCCAGCTAACACATGGTGCCTCTGACTGCATCTACTTGGACACCGTATTCACTGAGCAGCCACCCCAGTTTCCAAAGGGAAATATTTAACTTGCCACATACAGTTTTTCCTATTGCACAGCTACTGCAGCAGAGGAGATGAGCAACACCTCACTGATTACAGAAATTCTGGTTTGATCCACAAGGCTCAGCCACCTTGGACCTCCCTGCTGCTCTCTGCAGCTTCTGCACTGGTAGCTCAGCTCAACGCAGAGCTGGACAGTCCCACACCCATTTCCTTCCACTCTCCCTCACCAAAGGCAGAAAATTCATATATTAAAGCCTTTCCCAAAACTCTGCTTTTGGGCAATGAGTGTCCAATGGTCACTTGTGAAAGTCACAACTCAGAAGCATCACGCTCTAGAGAGCTCAAGCTCACTGGAATTATTATTCATTTTTTAAAGAGAGTTAGGCATTTCTGAATTCCTTAAAGTCACTGCCGAGGCTCGGGACAGCAGGACACAAGAAATCCTGGTCCCAACCTCACTGTGCCGCCAGCTCAGCCCATGTCTGTTTGCAGAGGACCATGCTCACCCACACAGAGGATGTTGAAGCTGAAGCCTTGTGTGACGGACTTGCTGACCAGCTGATCGGGGAGACTGTCAAAGCCGACATGGCCCCCCAGGGAAAGGTTCCTCTTCTCTTCATTCTGGTAGGGAGAAGAAACCAGATTAGCAGAGCTGCATTGAGAAGGCAAGCCAGAGACAGGAGAGGAACCACCAAGCCCAAGAAATAACCACCCTTCCGTGCACTGCAGAGGTACCAACACAAATCCTAACACTGCCCACAAGAGCTTGTGTTCTGGCACGCCACAGCTCAAACCCTCCGACACCAGAAAAGAGAGGGGAAAATACTGATCTTAATGGGGAATTGGGAGAACTAAGCTACCAGGCTACAAAGAAAAGAAAACACTAGCATGAGGTCCAACTACATGCAGCTGGAAGAGATTAGCAAAGGAAAACCCACCACTATGTGTTTTAGCACTCATTTCTCCTCATCCTTTTTTATTTTATTTTCTTAAACACTCCTGCACTGAATTCAGCTCGAGACACTCTACATTTCCCCTCCCTCCCTCCAAGTACTTGATCTTTTTCCCTTCGCTATTGCCATAAGCAGCATGGTGTTGTTCGCGGATGTATCCAGGGGTGCTGGTCGCACAGGCAGGGTGAGGAATCCTCTTGCTTTACCATCTGTGACCACGCAGCCTTCCACCATTTCTCTGCTGTTCCTGTTCCTGCCTCCCCCATATGCACTTTGTTCTTCCTTCTGTCTCCTCCCTCCCCCAGAGGAAGACAAATCTGATCACCTGTAGGAAGCTTTGCTTAGAAACTAGGACAAAACACACCTGAGGATACAACAGGTCTATGCCCAGTGTTGTACAGAAAGGCAGACCAGGTCAGCTATAATTCCAGAAGAGAGGATTTGATACATGGATTGTTTCTGTTTCCAGTGGTTACAAACAGTAGAGTTTGGATTTGCACAAATATTTCAAGAGATGCGGCCACCTCTACACAACTGAACAATGCTGCCCAAACCCAGTGACCAAACCACTGCCCCTGCAGCCTCTCAAGTGCTCTTATGCCTCCATGGAGAAGCAAGGCCACGTGATTTCAGAGCATGATTCGTTCACCCTCAGAGTTTCTTTGGTAAGTGGCTCTGTTTTTCTTAATCACCAGCACACAGTGGAAGATGGGGATGGAAGATGCATCTGCCCTTTGCCTGGCTCTGGTTCTTCCATTTGTCCCTGACAATTCGGAGTTAATGCCCCGGCACTAAGACTGCAAGATAAGAGCATACCCAGAGAAGAGCCTAAGCTGGCTGTCAAACTTTAAATTAACTCAAGAGGAAAATAGAAGAAATGATGTTACAAGCCTTGCATATTGCTCTACGCCTGCAGTAAGACTGCTAAACAAAACATGAACCTTTGTTCAACTGCATCGAGTCAAAGCCTCCTTTAGTTCTGCTTTTGGTAGAACAAATATTCTCAGCTTTGTAAAATAAACCATTTAAATCACAGTAACAACTTGTGAACAGCTGAAGCAGCTCCTACACCTCACGTACAAATCTTCTGGTTGTCCTGCTTAGCATGGTTACCAACTTCCAGATGATTTCAGCCAAGTGCTCTCCCAAGGGATTCCTCGGACAGAAACACAACCAAATCATAGCAGGGATCCTGCAATCAATTCTGTTTCATCCCATCTGGATCGATCATGCTCACTAACTAAGCGGAAATAGCAATCATCTAAAGTTTTCCCGTGGGAGAGACGGCATCAATTAAGGTTTTAAGGTGGCCAAGCACTTAGGTGAATTAAAAAGGGCCCTGAAGACAGAGAAACCTCTAAGTTAAACTTTCTTCTGTTCATCTGTCGCCACACTGAGCTGCTAAAGCTCAGACTAACAACCTCTGCAGGGACAGACCCCAACTGCAGGACGATTCCCCAGCACACAGGGAGAAAAGCGAGTCCGTGCTGAACCAGGCAGCCCAAC